GAGCCAGTCTTTGAAAGGATCAGGCAAGGGAAACTAGAATTTCTCCCCCTCTGTAAATCACCAGGCATTAATTTATTCAGCATAATCCAGAGTATTCTGATAGTGGGCCAATACCACTGTGGGATTCCAGGGGCTTCTGCTGAACTTTATATCCAGAGAGAAGAGGTAACGGGCGATAACTAAGGCTGAAGAAATCTAATGTTTTAGTCATTGGTAATACTTTGGAGACCCAAGAATTATCATGTCGCTGCTGGGTGTTGGTGGGTTTTCTTTAGGGAAAAGAGTCTACTTTAATGCTCTCCCTTAAGTTTTCCAAGACAGCCCCAGCTGGTGTGGCTCAGTGGATAGAGCATCGGCCTGGGGACAGAAGGGTCCTGGGTTTGATTCCAGTCAAGGGCACATGCCCAGGTCGTGGGCTCAATCCTCAGTGGAAGGCGTGAAGGAGGCAGCCGATCAATGATTCTCATCATTGATGTTTCTATCTCCCTCTCCCTTCCTCTCTGAAATAAATGAATATATTAAGTTTTCCAAGACACACTAGGGAAATTCCTCCACTGATACTCAGTGATGTAGGTGATACGTTAAAAACGTCTCAGTGCCTCACGGGAAAGGACCTGATTTGTCACTGAGGCTGAACTCTTTAATGGGTATAGTGGGTATCTTATCCAGTCCTTGGCAGTTCTGGCCAATCTAGCAGTCCCTAAGGAATTGTGCTGATTTGCTCAGAAACCTGCAGTGACATGGCCACACTGAGTCAACGGACATCAGACAGAGCACAGCCCCTGAACACTGCTGTTCTTTGGCTGAAGCCTTACCTGTTGTGTTATTTTTTGTGGGGGAGAAAGAGGAAAGAATCCTAGGAGGGCTGGCATTCTTTTTCAAAATAAAAACGTCCTGGCCTTTTCATTTAGATTGCTATCTAGAGCCTCAACCTAATTTTAAAGCCCTGTGGCAGATTCCTAAGTGGCAGTTCCTGGTGAAATAACCCTCAGGATGTTTCTACTTCCCTGGGATACTGATTTTACATTTCCAGTTTGGAAAGTCACTGCAGGGATGCAGCGCTCCACATTTTTGTTTGGGCTGTTTGTGATGGACTTAATTACACAAGTGGCTTCTTCAGGACGTTGGTCACAGATGCATCCTATTTCCCTGTGCGTCTCCTTTTTTGTCTCTTGATTGCCACAAGGCTGTTTGTTTTGGACAGGGCCTCTCCCCACCCTTCACATTCTCTGCTTCCCTTCCATCCTGCCGGACGGTCCGGGCTTGCCTCTTTCAGAGACCTACATCCTGAGTAGCCTAGTCATCCCTCTTGCAAAGTTCTTTATTTTCTCTGCTCTCCAATGGTTTTCAAAAACCTTTTCCCGCTTCTTTCTGAAATCTTTTTGCCTCACTACTTTGATTCAGCATAATCCAGAGTATTCTGATAGTGGACCAGTTCAGTCAATGTGGGATTCCAGGGGCTTCTGCTGAATTTTATATCTAGAGAGAAGAGGTAACAGGCGATAACTAAGACTGAAGAGATCTAATGTTTTATTCATTGGTAATACTTTGGAGACCCAATAATTACCATACTCTTTTTTTAAAAAAAATATATTTTTATTGATTTCAGAGAGAAAGGGAGAGGGAGAGAAAGAGAAACATCAGGTGAGCGAGAATCATGGATCAGCTGCCTCCTGCACGCCCCATACTGGGGATTGAGCCCGCAACCCGGGCATTGCCCTTAACTGGAATCGAACCCGGGACCCTTCAGTCTGCAGGCCGATGCTCTATCCAGAGAGCCACAACAGCCAGGGCTTATCATACTCTCTTAAGGTTGTGGTAGTAGCTTTAGAAATTCGCAAACATGCTGTGAAATACCATAGGTTAAATAAGAAACACCACAATAAAAGGTAGATGAAGGAGCGCCCCCCCCCCCTTTATAGTCATCCCCTGGAGTTGGCCCTCTGAATCACTACATGAGGAACAAAGTGGTTTGTGTAGATGGTTCACCTAGCCTACAACTCTTCAGTTTCATTGCATAAAGTCGTCAAGGGGAGAGCTCTGAGGAGAGAAGAGTCTGTACACAGGGAAATTGAGATTACACGTTTTTTTTTGCAAAACATAACTGCAGTTCTTCCCAGTGCAATTTGCAGAGTAACTCTGAGTCATCAAATAAAGTCAAGGGAAGGAAGCAATTTTCCAGCACAGCTTTTGAAGTTTGGTCCCATCTGTCCTTTTCTTTCTAGGTGCTTGGAAGTTCTGGTAAAACATACACATGTTTGGCTTCTTGTCATTACTGTTCATGTCCTGCGTTTGCCTTCTCCGTGCTCCGGAAGAGTGACAGCCTGCTGGTGAGGATGGCGCAGTCTCTTCCCACTGCCATTGAATTAGGGAAGAAATTGATAGCCCTTACTTCACGGCTTAAAAGTTGTACAACGTGGGAATTTTACTACATGTTGAAACAACTTGTTTATTATCTTTGACCTCAGTTAGTAATCTCTCTTGGGTTTAACCTCCCAAAATGCTGTGTCATTTTTAGAAATACATCAACCCCAGTTTATTACTGAAAGGGTCATGGACGAAGCGTTTGGGAGGACAAGATAGTCCTGAATGGGTTGGCACTGAAAAGTTGGCACTGGGGGATGAGGTAACCCAGTAAATGTATGAACCAAACTGGAACCAAGTTGGCAACTTTCCATGTCCCCAGCTCCAGCCATGAGGTGTTTCTTCCCACTGCCCATAAAACAGCCTGGCACTTCCACCTGAGGCAGGAGAGCACAGTGGTGCCTTTGCCTATTTCACAGGAGTCCAGAGCCTCAAGCAAGGAAAAGACATACAACTCTTTACTCCAAGGAGAAAGCACCACTCACCTGAGAGTAGGTAGCTATTTTTTAAGTCTTGCCAAAGAAGAAAATTATAGCATCCATCCCATTCTTACCCTTTGTTTTACACTCTTAACTTCATTAAACATCTTGGGAACTCGGTAGCAAATTGGGTATCCCATTGTACGAGTGGCTACATTCATAGCTGATGTGCCATAAGCTTATTTCACTGTTAAGTGACATGATTACACCAGGCCCCTTCAATATCTAAAGCCGTGTTGTGGGTTCAGTGATACAGGGTCCAACATAGATCATCTCTCCAGAGCTGTGTACAGGCTGGTGTATGTGAGGGTTCTGCCAGCCCACCTTTACCCCTCCGCCCCCCCTCATCCCCTAGAAGTGTAACAGGTTAAAGAAGCAGACTAGATTCTGAGCACATGGTTAAAATGGGGACAAGAGCTGTTCTCAGGAAGGAGCTGTCAGATGTAAATGAGATCATGTGAAGCACCTAATAACACTGCTTCAGGAAGGCTATTCATTGCTATTAGCAGCTTTCTGAAGGTAAGGAAGAAAGAAATATGACTTAGGACTCAGATGAGGAGCCTGTTGTGGTTATATACCTGTGCCAGCCTGTTTCCCACACAGCAGGCTAAGTAAAGCTTCCTTTGTGCCCTCTGACTTCTAGAAAGAATACATCTGTCGCAGCTGTGTCTGCAGTTTCTAAGCAATGCGTTAAAGGCCCATAGTCTGTGCCCCACTCCTTTCCGGCTACTGTAATGGTAGTGAGAGGCCTTGGTTAGCCTGGCTGTCGCAGTTTCTAACCGTCTGTGTGTTTTATATTCCAGTGCAAGCATCTCTTAGCAGTTTATCTTAGTCAGATTATGGGGACCTGTCAGCAGCTAAGTGTTTCGGATAAGCAATTGACGGACATATTATTGATGAAGAAGAATCAAGAAGCATAAAAGGTACAGACTATCATTATCTTTCGAAATAGAAGTAGCAACAAAAGTCCATTTAACCTATGGCTCATAGGGAAGAGAGATGAAATAGATCCAGAAAGTTGTTACTGTCCCTTTTTTCTTATGGACTACAGGAGGCACTGTGGTTGGAACCCAGGATGTGTGTATGGTTTGAAGCCCTGTACAAGTCTCCTCATGAAAATCTGAACCAGTTTCTAAGCCCCATGGCTAAAAAATTTCCTAGATGGAATCAAGCATTTTAGACTTAAATAAAGCCTAATACCATGTCTTATCCACAATTAGATTCTTAACTGAGGTACTAGTAATTTTAAGAGGTTGAAATGCAAGACAAAACTGAGTAGGATGAAATGTAGATGAGTAAGTGTTAATTCTTTACCTTGGGTTCAGAAAATTATTCTGCAGCAATGAAAGATCAGAGCAGAGATGTGGCCAAACAGCAGCCAAGTATAAACAGATTTACTGGGGTTCTGGTTTCAGGAGCTTCAGAACCTGTGGTGCTGGTGCCAAAATAGCTCCAGTCGGCTGTATTGTTAGAACGGTAGTATCTAGACCAACGGAAGTACTGGTTTTGTGCTACATGCATTTCTGAGCTTTTAACAAGCCAGATGAAGGAAGGGACTAAAATTCATGTGCTGAAGGAAGCAGAGGAAACTACTATGGATTTCTAGTCTGAAGAAGAAAAGGCAAAAGAGAGACCAAGAAGAGTGCTAGGAGGGAGGAAATGGGGCTATTTGGACCCCCAGGAGAGTGCAGACGAGTTATGATGGTGGAAACGAGACAGATGCAGCACTTTACAGGTACAGCTGTCTGTCCACCGCCAGAATGGGATCCAAGGACGGGAATGTGCTGTGAGAGGGCTTATAAACCTGCATTGTCTACAGGGATATTGCAGAAGCAGCTGACGCGGTGAACAAACAGATGAAAAAGATCTTACAGCCTAGGAAACCTCAACCCTGTGTCCCCAAAGCGTGAGGTGCTAGTGAGTGAATGCTGTGTGAGAAGGCCATGATGTGGCAGTGTTCTGTGGTGGGCAGAGCCTTTTGTTATGATGAGGTGTGGCAAATAAACTATGAAGATTTTTCTGCTGCTTGGGAAACTTCAAGTGGGTATAAGCTTATATTTTTAAGCAGACTTTAGGATAAAGAGTAGAAGGGACATGCAGCTCTGTATGACAAGCCAGTGCAGCACCCTAAGCTTGATTTCTTTAAGTTTTATTTTATTTCACCCAATATAATACACAATTGTATAATTTTACTTAGTAAAAATTTCACACTTTGAGATCCAGCAAGTTGGCAAAGCTTGAAGTTGGTAGAGAAGTAAAATTCACTACTAGTTCTAGGAGGGGGAAAGGGAATCTGATAGAAGAAGGATCCCTTCTCTAGTTTCTTTCTCTAGGGTTGTTTGCTATATATGGAAAAGAATGCTATCAAAATGTTATCTGATGATGTTCTACTTAAGAACTTACAGGAGTGTCATTTCCCTAAATTAATATAGTAGTTTCTTGATCAAAGAATTATACTTTTAATTTTCCTGGTCTCCTTCCTAGAAATGAGTATACACTTTTAGTATGTCCAACTTTTATTTTTCCATTGCCACTAAGTTTAAAAAATATTTGTATTATAATAATTCACAGTGTTTCACAGAAAAATAGTTTTATTCATTTTCTACCATAAAAAAGGCCGACTTTAAAAAAAACAAAACATTATTTTACAATCCATTCAAGTTGTCAGCATCATCCACACAGTGAGAGCATCCAGACAGGACCATATGTATTTGTCAACCCTTGGAACCTACTAATATCATGTACATATTAGTTAGATATGTGGTAACTCCAGGGAGATGCTCAAAAGAGGCAACCCATATGCTTCTGAGGCATGACTGTCTTTCACATGAGGATCATCCAATCATGTCCTGTCCCTCTGTTTATTGTGGATTTGTGCCTTTTGAAGAGGACAGAGTCCATCCAGGTCATAGGCCCATGTCGAGAGCAGGCTGTGCCCCCGCCTGCCCATTCCCACTCTTGAAGACATCTGTCTGGCAGAGAACATACCTGGAGATGAGTTTGTGAAAAGTATAGCGGAAGTCTCGGTTCCTGTAGGCATAAACAATGGGATTGACAACTGAGTTGGCATGTGACAGGAGAATAGCCATATTCATTGCCCACTTGGGCTTCTCCTTAGCCTGAACTGGATGAAAAAGGGTGACACAGTTGATGGCATGCACTGGTAGCCAGCACACAGCAAAAATCCCCACGATCATGGCCAGGGACTTAGCAGCGTGGATCTCTCGCTGGAGGATGGTCCTTGAGTGGTCCATCAGCTCAGTGCGCTGAAGCTGCCTGCAGGCCACCATGAAGATCTTGATGTAGATCACTAGCATTATGAGCAGTGGGGGCAGGACACACCCAAAGAAGTTGAAATACACCATGTAGCTCATGGGAACCACATTCTCAAAAAGACATTTCACAAGGCAGCAGCTTTCATTCATGGTTCCACCCCAGGGCTCTGTGCAGTTGGTGGCACTGTCTTTACTGTTCCAGCCCAGGAAAGGGGTCAGTCCAATGCCAAAGGCAAGCACCCAGAGGACAGCAATGACTCTTCTCGCTCGGGTCCCAGTGACCAAACTCTTGTATCTGTTGAAAAGAACATCATCTGTTATTGTCATTTTATAGTTCTCTGCAACCAAGTCCAGAATCCCACCTCTGCTATTTTTCCATGACCTTTACTCCTAACAGCTGCTAAGATTCACCGTCAAAGGGTACCATGGCCTTTACTCTCAACACTAAAGACACACAAACAGGTATAAACAGCTTTGCTCTACAAGTTCAATAAGAGTTTCATTGACTTACTAACTCACCTCTGTTTAGTGGCAAATTATGGTCAATGGAAACAAGTGTAGAAGTCTTCAAGGTTATTTTCTACTTACCCAGATACTGACCCTTGAATCTAAGTCTTATATAAGGCACTGTTCTAGGTGGTTGAGATACACCAGTGAACAGCACACACAAAGATCCCTACTTTTAAAGGGACTTACATTCTAGTAGGGGAAACGGATAAAAAACAACAAACATGAGTTAGTAAATTATGGGGTATGGTAGAAGGATATACATGTAATTTTTTTTTTTTTAAGCAGCTTAAGGAAAATCAACTGCCAGGGACAGTAGTGAAAGAGGTCTGTTAAGGGACACTTGGGTGACAAGGTGACACCTGAAGGAGTGAAAGTTGGCCCTTGGCGTCAGCACTACGTGGTGGCTCTGGTCAAGAATCCTTCTGGTCCCACAAATACACAAGAGGTTTGCCTTGGACTCTGGGAGGAATCATCGCTGAATACTTCTACTGGAGAACACAAGGCTGGCAAAGTCCCCATCTCTGCTAGCAGCAAAGTTGATAGGAATTGGGAAATACCTTAGCGAATATTAACTTTTAAGTAAGTTTAAACCATTAAATTGTATTTAAAAATCACTAGAAATCAGAATATACATTATAGACATATACTGTACTGTACATATAATGTACTGCTATAAAGTAGTCCATATGTGGCTTATAGCAAAGCAATAAATTTAGCCATTAATAACTGCTCCATAATAGGTATTCAATGTAATTATTGAGTAAGTGAAATAAAATCTTTCCTTCTGGGAGGGGAATTTGGAAATAATTAGATACACATTACCTGAAGACTTGTCTATGGAAAATGTCCAATTTTCTTTGTCTGCAGGATAAAGCCCATACTTTTCAGCATGACCCACAGAGCCCTCCAGGCCTCAACCCACATGCCCAGTGCCTGCCATTCCTAATCAATGGCTCATCTGGCTCAGGCTGCTCTCAATATCACATAAAACACGTCTTCTTGTTTCCAGGGTCACCTCCTTTTCTGATCACTTCTCAGGTAGTGGTGGCCAGTCCCACTCTGCCTCATACACACTCTGGTTATAGAACTTGTTTTATCTGTTACATTTGTCCTCTCAATTAGAATGTCAACCTCTTAAGGACTAGGGCCTTGTACCTTTATATTGATATTCCCAGGACCTAACACAGTGCTTGGCACATAGTATAGTATTTTTAATAACATAACCATTATGAATACAGTCCTTATGAATACAGTCCTTATTTGTTACCTGATTTATTATCAAATAGCTTTATTTTTTAATCTATTTTTCTTGATTTCAGAGAGAGTGGGAGAGGGAGATAGAAACATCAATGATGAGAGAGAATCATTGATTGGCTGCCTTCTGCACGCCCCCTACTGGGGATTGAGCCCAAAACCCGGGCATGTGCCCTGAATGGGAATCGAACCCTGACCTCCTGGTTCATAGTTCGACACTCAACTCCTGAGCCACGCAGGTCAGGCTGTTATCAAACAGCTTTAAAACAAGATTCTACTTATTGAAAATACTTGGTTCTGTGGCCTGGACAAGCAGAACTAATACAGTTTGCTGAAGAAGTTACCTGAGATCTTACCTCATAATTGGAAGTGGGAGTGATCTTTAATCTCTTCTGCTCCCTATTAGAGCAGCAGTGGGCAGTTCAGTCGTGGAACCTTTACAGAAGACCTGGGCTTAGTGGCTCACTGAATTTTTCTTGGCCAATAAATCCACCCTTTCTGCTTCCTCCCTCATTCAGGAATGGAAGCCATTCCTTAAAAAAAAAAATGTCATTCTTGGCCATTGCCTCACCTAAGATATGAAGAATGCAATTAGTCCCTGCAGGATAACAAGGGAGCCTCTAACGTCCAAGCACTTAGAGCAGTGGTTCTCAACCTTGGCTGCACATTAGAATCACCTGGGAATCTTT